GTTCATATCCAGCCCGGGCCCACAACAATGATGGCTGCAACCAAAAAACAAAAAAATAGCCTGACGTTGTGGTGGGCGCCTGTGGTCCCAGCTACTTGGGAGGCGGAGGCAGGAGACTCGCTTGAGCCCAGGAGTTGGAGGTTGCTGTGAACTGTGACACCACTGCACTCTACCCAGGGCGACATAGTGAGACTATGTCTCAAAAAAAAAAAAAAATTGGGGTGGCGCCTGTGGCTCAGTGGGTAGTGCACCAGCCCCGTATACCATGGGTGTCCGGTTCAAACCTGGTCCTGGCCAAACTGCCACAAAATAGCCGGGTATTGTGGTGGGCACCTGTTGTCCCAGCTACTTGGAAGGCTGAGGCAAGAGAATCGCCTAAGCCCAGGAGTTGGAGGTTGCTGTAAACTGTGTGATGCCACGGCACTCTACTGAGAGTGATAAAGTGAGACTCTGTCTCTACAAAACAAAACAAAACAAAACAAAAAACATTGCTATGTTACTTAGTGGGCAAATGGCTTCCCCTCTCAGACTCTATTTCCACCTTATCAGCTGAGCATGAGGGTTCAGTGGAATCACACACCTGGGCTGGGCAACTGGTGAGTGCTTTGGAAATATAAGGTAGAATCATCATCATTAAATATGTGCATTGAATCTAGCCTGAGCCAGAGCAAGACCCCCATCTCTAAAAATAGCCACGTGTTGTGGCAGGTGCCTATAGTCCCAGCTATTCAGGAGGCTGAGGCAAGAGGATTACCTGAGCCCAAGAGTCTGAGTTTGCCGTGAGCTGTGATGCCATAGCTCAACCCCAGGGTGACTGAGTGAGTCTCTGTCTCAAAAAAGGTTTTTTAAATAAAATAAATAATTAAATGTGTGCAATGAGTGACAGACATCAGGAACAGAATCACAGTCTGTCTTCTGCAACAAAGAAAACAAGGAAGAAAAGGAAAGTTAAACAAAATTCTTCATGTTATAATTACATTTTCTGGGGGAGTGAGTTGTTTAGGGATGGGCTGCCTTGAGATCCCATGATTTTCCAGAAGGATGCATAGAACTCAGCAAAGCCATTATGCTCAGGGTTATGGTTTATTACAACAGAAGAATACAGATTAGAGTCAATGGAGAAAAAAGGTGTATGTGGCAAGGTCTAGAAGAAACCAGGTGAAAATTTTGGTTATCTTTGCCCAGTGGAGTCATTTGAACAGCCCTTAATTCTCCCAGCAATGATGTGTGACAGGATGCATGGGGTTTTGCCAATTAGGGTAGCTCCCCTAAACATTGAAGTGTGGGATTTTTATTGAACTTTCATTATATAGACAAAGATGACTGCCTGTGTGACTGACTTTAGTCTATAGACTCACTATAGAGGTCAAGGTGGTGTTGCATGACCCAAGGCCCCCACCGTAAGTCACATCGTTACTATCTGGTGTGTCTCCCAAGGTCTCCCAGGCAAACAAAGAGACTGTTATCAGGCAGGACATTCCAAGAACTTAGAAGGCATATCCTGGAAGCCGGGCAAAAGCCCAGACCTTCCTTGGGTTAAGTTGACATATCACTACACAAGGAGATACCCTTGTGCACACCAGCCATGCATCTTTGCACCTCATACTCAAGAAGCTGGAGCCAGGACAGGGGGTGTGTCTGGGCCAAAGGTACAAAGAGCCACACAAGTGACTCCCAGCATCAATGGCTATTCCCTCCAGCCCAACCAAGGCCAGCCTGTATGGAGCCATCCTCTTCACCCTTCAACAGACCCGCTGGCTCCCAGTGTCTAAAGCCACTCTCATCTTCATCTTCACTATGTTCATGGTATCCTGTAAGGTAAGCTTTTCTGTGGCCTTCCTGCCTTGAATAGTGCTACCCCACACTTTTGGGCTAAGAGTAGGGACATTGGACATTCCTAGCCTTATGTGGCTGGGGCAGTACACCTCAGAGAGGGGAGAAGCTTGTCAGTAGGTCCATGGTAGGAGAGTCTTTAGAAGGCAATCTCTAATAGGTAGGGACCAGGCAATCTATACAAATGACCCATCATGAGCAAAGGTTGAGGCAGGCCTGGTGCCTTGTGCATAGAGACCACAGGAAAAAGAGGCTGGGAAGGCAGGCTCAGGTAGCCAAGGGTTCTACTGTATCAGCTATATCCCAACTTGAGTTGAGGTCATCCCATCCAGGAAGGGTCTTCAGGGGCAACCCCATCCTGCCTCTGGCAATGCTGGGGAGTTCTGCTGTTGTTTCCCCTCAGCGTGAAGGCCCCAGCTCAGGGATGTGTCTCCCTTAGCTGGGATTATAAGGCTGTTAAAATTCAATGAGTGTAAGTCTCCCAGCCTTAGGGAAATAGCAAGAGGACCCAGATAGCTTCCCCCTATGTTTGTAGTTCAACCCCAGGCCAAGTGTCTTAATCTATTCAGGCCACTCTAACAAAATACTGTACCCTGGGCACCTTGTAAACAACAGAAATTTATCTTCACAGTTCTGAAGACTGGGAAGTCCAAAATCCAGTGTGGTCAGGTTCTGGGGAGGGCCCTCTTCCTGGTTGCAGGTTGCAGACATCTCACTGTGACCTTACATGGTGGAAGGGACTGCCTAGCTTCTCAAGACCCTTTTATGAGGGCACTAATTCTGTTCACAAGGGCCCCACCCTCATGACCTGATCACCCCCAAAGGCCTCCCCTAATACCATCACTTTGCTGACTAGGTTTCCATATATAAATTTTAGGGAGACAAACATTCAGACCATAGCACTCCTCTCTGAGCCCAGGTGTGTTGGGGGAGCTCTTGAGGGATGGGTAACTGACAGTCCATCTATGCTGGGGACTATCCAAACTTTAGCATTGAACAGAAGTCTTATACCCTGGGTGGTTGTCTTCCTCCTGGGGATGCATGCAGCCATAAGGCTTGGCCTTGCTGACATTTTCTCCCATCTTCTCTCCTTTCCTCTTCCTGCTTTACCTTCTGCCTTGGTTTCTTTCTGGCTCTCTTGCTGTCTTCACCACCACCCCACCTTAGGTATTCTTAACAGCCACTCACTCTCACAGCTCACCTTTTGATGTCCTGGAGGGCTACATCTGTCCTGTGTTGTTTGGGGCAGCCTGCGGGAGTGACTATCACCATGACAACCATGGAGGGCCCCATGGTGGTTCCCACAGCGGTGGTGGGCTGGGTGCCCAGCATTCAGCCATGCCTGCCAAGTCCAAGGAGGAGCTGAGTGAGGGCACCAGAAAGAAGAAGACCAAGAAAGCAGATTAGGGGCTGGCCTGGGGAGAGGACCCTGACCCAGGACATTCTGAACTGGGAGACGTCCTGGGCTCAGATACACCGTTTCCTGTCCTCATCTGAGAGATGGGGCCATCAGTCCACCCTCCAGGGATGATGTGGGAGTTAAATAAGATATGGGAGTGAAGGACTTTTGGAGGAATGGAGGGCCCCACTCTCTCTGCCAGGCCCCCATAGAGCTTTTAAGGGGCACGAGCCAGCACACAGAATCTCATCAGCAGCTCCAGCCCAAACCCCCAGCAGTTAGATTCTTGGTTCTATTTTTTCTTCTCTAAAATTGCACCTTGACTCCAAAAGGATCCCGAGCCATATTGAGATTCATTCATCTGATGGACATTTCCTAAGTACCTGCTGTGAGCCCGGTGCTGTGATTTTGAAGTCTCTTCTTACCTACACTCCTCTAGACTTTGTCCTGTGCCCAAAATGTTCTGACTCCTGCTGGACGTCCCTGGGCAAGTTACCTCCCTCTTCTGAGCTTCCTGTTCCCCTCTGTATAGTGGAAACCCTTGGCTCGGTATGGAAGGGCTAATGTAATGCTAGATCTGAAAAAGTCTTGCAAGCTTATAAGTGAACACCGTGTAGTCCAGAGGGGATGCCAGGATGGTTGTAAATTCTGATTGAAAATGGCATTGCATTTTAGATCGTTTGTGTTTGTGGATCAAAGAACCTCACAAGTTAGCCAGCATAAAGGAGGCCCTCAGTAGACATGTCTAAAGCAGGCTGCAGAGATCATAGTGTGCATAGGCTTGTTCTGTTCTATTGGCTTCAGGCTGCCCCTAAACCAAAGAAATTCAGCCAGCTGGGCAGTGTTTATCAAGGCAGCTTTATCAAGGGGCTCCAAGCACTCACAGTAGGAACCTGAAAGTATCAGGCCTCCCTCACATAGGAGTCCATTGTCACTCATTCAGTCATTCAACAAACATATTGATAACCTATTCTGAGTTGAGCCTTGTGCTGCTGCTGCTGAGCAGGCTGGGAACTTCCTTCAGGGTAAGGGGGATGATGGCTGAAGGGGCCCTCCTGGCTACCTCACCTCAGTGTAGGTGGCCAGAATGTCCTAGAGGGTGGATGTGGTGGGCATGGCAAATCTCAGGTGAGGTTTGGACCCAGACCGAGTTCAGGTCCCAGGTGTTGCCCAGATTGAGAAAGTGCCTTGTTCAGTGATACTTGGGAGTTGGGTGGGTCCTGAGTTTCATCCTCTTGCATGTCCATCAAAGCTTGGCGTGAGGCATCAGCCAATAAATCATTGTGACTGAACCCTCATGACTTGTCTGATTCATTTCTAGGCTTTCGGCCCCAAGATTTGTGGACACTCTGGGGTCTGTATCTTCAGAGATGCTTGTGGCAGTCCCTGGTCGCAGGGGGAAATGATGAAAGTGGATGAGGTCTGTAGGATTGAGGTCAAGTGAATGTGGGTTCAAATCTCCACTCTGTCACCACCAGGCCAAGTAGTGCCCCCCATCCCCCATCTGAGACTGTTTGCTCCTTTCAAGAGCAAGTGGGAGGATGAGTCAGAGCAGATGGAATTTATGACTTAGAGTCCTATGCAAGACCTTGTCAAGAGAGTGAAAGACGAACCACAGACTGGGAGAAAATCTTTGCAATACCACTGGCGCCTAGCTGATGACAGAGTGATCACAAATACAAAGCAATTACAATCACATTTACTCCAGAACAAAAGCAAACAATAAGAATACATTGCAAAGAGTGAGACAGACCCCTCAAATTTGTTCAAATCCTGGCTTTTCACCTCGCAGATCTGATCATCTGATAAAGGGGGTGTACCCAGAATATTGAAAGAGTTCTCAAAACCCAGTAATAAGGCTGGGCATGGTGGCTCATACCTCTAGTCCCAGCACTTTGGGAGGCTGAGGCAGGAGGATTGCTTGAGTCCAGGAGTTTGCAGTTCCAGTGTGCTGTGATCAAACCACAGCGCATTAGGCTGGTTGACAGAGCAAGACCTCAAAAAAATAATAGAGGCAAATGAGCAACTGTACTCCATGTCTATAATGGCACAGTGCTCAGCACTGAAAAGGGGTGAACGTTCAGCACCATGAATGAGCCTCAAATGCATCATGATGGGTGAAAAAAAGTCATACAAAAAAGATTGTATACTGTATGAGTTAATTTATATAAGATTGTATTATGTAGAAAAGGCAAACTAATTTATAGAACAGAAATCTGATCAGTGAGTGGAGAAAGGGGGCTGGAAAGGGTCAGGAGGAAGGAATTTGAAGAGTCACAAGAAAACTGGGGTGATGGATCTGTTGACTGTCTTGATTGTGGTGCTGGTTTTATGGGTCTACGCGTATGTCTGAAATTATCAAATTTTACATTTTAAATACGTGTGCTGGACCTTCTTGAGGTAGATGTTTGCTGTTTCTTGGCTCCCAGTGCCAAGAATAGCCCTGGTGCCTAGCCGATGACAGAGTGATCACAAATACAAAGCAATCACAATCACATGTACTCCAGAACAAAAGCACACAATAAGAATACATCGCAAAGAGTGAGAGACCCCTCAAATTTGTTCAAATCCTGGCTTTTCACCTCGCAGATATGTGACATTGGACAAATAACTCCTCTGTGCCTCAGTTTCCTCTTAAGATGTCTAGAAAGAGTAACTAGAAAGCCCGTGGCACAAGATGAGATCTGGAGTTGGGATTGCAAAAGCCAGCTCTTGTAAAAATCCCTGGAGAGCTTCTGCTTGGGTTTATCTAGCATCCAGTGAGTGCTGGCGATAAGTCCACCCCCTGAATGTTTTGAGATCTCATTTTCTGAGAAAACAGATTGTACCAAAATAGCCTCCTTGCCTATTCTGGGAAGGAAGCATGCAAACCACTGGCCAGCTGGGGGATGATTGGTAGAACAGGCTGGCCCTGCCATGCCTGTGTAGGTGTGAGAACTTAGATGGCTAGTTCTCAAGTCCAGGCTAATTTTAGCTGCAGGGGTCACACTCAGTAACGTCCTCAGTTTAGAATTGAGACAAAGGTTCTTGCCACTTTAAAATACACAACATAAAATTTGTGTATTTTTAAAAAATATACAACATAAAATTTGCCATCTTAACCGTTTTTAAGTGTACAGCTCAGTGGCATTAACTACATTCACAGTGTTGTACAACATCCCCACCATCCATCTCCAGAACTTTCATCTTGCAAAACTGAAACTGTGTCCCCATGAAACACTAACTCCCCATTTCCCATCCCCCCACCCCCTGGCAACACCGTTCTACTTTCTGTCACTATGAATTTGACAACTTTATGATGGTGTGAAAGTGATCCACATTCAGTAGAAACCATACATCAAGTACCCATGCAACCATTCTGTTTTTCAATTTTTTTTTTTTTTTTTTGAGAAACAGTTTCAGTTTGTCACCTTCTCACTTTGTCATAGCTCAGAGGAAACTCAAACTCTTGGGTTCAAGCAATTCTCTTGCCTCTGCTTCCCAAGTAGCTGGGACCACAGGTGCTGCCACGAAGCCCTGCTATTTTTAGAGATGGGGTCTTGCTCTTGCTTAGGCTGGTCTTGAACCCATGAGCTCAGGCAGTCTACCTGCCTTGGCCTCCCAGAGTGCTAGGATTATAGGCATAAGCCACTGCACCTGTCCTGTTTTTCAATTTCAATACAGTAGTCAACAAATTACATGAAGTATTTAACACTTTATTTGTTATAAAATTGTATTTATGTATTTGCTATTTTGACAGAGTCTCATTGTGTTGTCCAGGCTGGTCTTGAACTCCTGGCCTCAAGGGATCCCTCTGACTCTTCCTCCCAAAGAGCTGGGATTATAGGTGTGAGCCACCTTGCCTGGCCTCAACACCTTATTATGAAATAGGCTTTGTGTTAGGTGATTTTGCTGAACTATAGGCTAATCCAAGTGTTCTGAGCACATTACATAGGCTCGGACAGGCATCTTTAGGGAAAAAAAAGAAAAGTCAGCCAGACATATGCCCGCAATCCCAGCTATTCGGGACACTACGGAGGGAGGATTGCTTCACCCCTGAGTTGGAAGCTGCAGTGAGCTACAAACATACCACTTGCACGGTAGCCTGAGCAACAGAATGAAACCCTGTCTCAAAAATAAATAAAGTCTGAATAGTAATATTCCACTGTGTGACTATACCACATTTTGTTTATCCATTCATTTTCTGTTGACAGACATTTGGGTTGCTTCTGTCTTTTGTACATGGACGAACAAAATCTCTTTGAGACTCTGCTTTCAATTCTTTTTGGTAAATACCCAGAAGTGGAATTGCTATATCATATGATAATTCAATGTTTAATTTTTTTTAAGAAACCACATTTCATCACATTTGTTGTGTTACATTTGTTAGAAGCAAATCACCACCATTACACAAGGAAAAGTGAGTACCAGGAGATGAGAACCAACAGAGATCATTTTAGAAGTTGCCTACCATGTCTCCATAAGTAAATCAGGCTATGGTTGAGCCTAGAAATTTCTCAGTTTAAGCACACACAACATGCCAAGTACTTAAGCAGGTCTTTTATACACAGTGTGTCCTAAAGGTAGTTTGTTATCCTCATTGTATGGAAAAAAAATGGAGGTTCAGTAGTGAATTGAGTTAACATTGATCACATATTATTAACAGTGGATCACAGTTAAAATCCCGGCCCATCTAATTCCAAAGCCTGGACTTTTTCCTATATACTTCACTTCTCTGATTCTTTTTAGGGATGTGTAAGATACACACAGGAAGAGTATAATGTGATCCTTAGCATTAGCAAAGGTAAGTTCCCTTCCCGCATTTGTTCCCAGATCACCATCCCGCCGTTACTGCAGACGTGGGTGGTTATAAGTGCATTTACACCATGCTTTCTTGCTGGCACCTACCCAGAGGCATCTGGGAAAAGTCCTACCTCAATTAGCAGAGGAAATGAGCACCTAATTTAGTCTGTAGAAGCTAGCCAAGAGGTCAAAGTGAGGGCACAACAACAGATGTTGGCAGGCCTGAGCATGAGTTGTGGTTTTGCTACTAATGTACTGTTTGATATTCAGTGAACCACTCAGGTCAAATGAAAATGTTGGACTAGGTCAAGATTAGGTAAACTATGGCCCATGGGCCAAATCAGACCCCCCACCTGTGTTTGTAAGTAAAGTTTTATTAGCACACATTTCATTTGTTTCTGTATCATCTATAACCACTCCTGTGCTATAATAGCAGGGTTTAGTCATTTCAAACAGACCATTTGGCCCACACAGCTAAAAATACCATTTGGCCATTTGCAGCACAAGTTTGCCAACTTTTGGACTACAAGATTTTTTTCCTTTTTTTTAGTTTATTCAAATTAATATGCAGGTACAATATTTAGGTTACATTGTTCTCACTTCCATGGTAAAGTTTCATTTGTAGAAGAACCCCTTACCCAGGGGGCATGTTATATACCCTCACAATGTACACATTAGGCAAGATCCCACCTCCTACCCTCCCTCCTTCTGCCATA